CCCCAAAACCCCAAAACCCCAAAACCCCTTTATAATAGAATATAAGTATATTTAGGAAAATTTTCTATAAACATAAAATTAATTTTGCATCACTAATGGAATCAAGCAAGAAAGAGGAAAACAAATCTACATCAAAGATTGATTTGCATCACGTCGAAAACTCTAAGAAAAGAAAGAGAAATGATTTAAAAGGACCAGCTGGCTACGGTATTCCAGATAACACTAAAAAAATAAAGATTGATGATTTAAATGATTCTGATTCTAAACCTAAGTCTGGACTTCCCGCAAATAGCAATATACTTGTAAAATTCCCGCTTATTATTATCTTATAGCAATAACAAGAAATCTCTAAAATTTTAGAAGGCCATGAAACTATTTATAAAGATGTTTTGGCGAATAACAAGCCTTTTTTCTAACAATTAAAGGATGAATAGTTTAATAATCAATTATAGAGAGATATCAAGCACCAAAGCTTGGGAAATCATGATAAATTTAGATAATTTCATAATTCAGCATAGAAATGGTAGGATCAAAGATTAAGTCATTTTAAAGATGAATGGCTTAGAGATAAAAAAGTTCTTGATATAGGCTGTGGTGATGGACTCGTAGATATTCTAGTTGCTGTTAATTACGAACCAAAACTTATAATAGGAATAGATATAGATCATAGATAGACCAAGAAAGCAATCACCAATATGTAAAAAACAATAAATGATTAAGAATAACTTGACGCTCTTATGATTACTATGAAATTGCATAATGAAGATCTTAATAAAGGGGATGCAGAAATGATTGATTAACTAGAAGAAAAAAAGCGAAAACTTATAAAAGAAAAAAAGCAAAAATATGAATAAATTCTAGAGAGAGTAAAGAATCTACCCATATCATTATAGCTTACATTTGAAGGAGAGCTTGCTAGGCTTAAGAAAGATTAAGGTAACTTTTTAACTGAGGTAATTAACTCAGAGAATCCTAATCCCAGCCTGAAGGATGTTAAAAACTATCTCTATGGAAAGATTTGTTTCAGAACAGAAAATTATATAGAAAATACTATTCTGTCATAGAAGGAGAAGTTTGATACCATATTATGTCTCTCTACTATAAAATATGTGCACTTAAATTTCGGTGATCTAGGTGTAAAGACATTATTTAGTAAGGTATATGACTAACTCCTTCCAGATGGGATTTTTATACTTGAAAACTAGCTATGGAAGTCGTATAAAAAACATAAGAATACAAACGAGAGATCAAAAGCTAACTATAATTCAATTAAGATTAGACCACATTGTTTTAGAGCATATCTTGAAAAAGTAGGATTTGAGCTAGTCATAAGTATAATGCCTAGTGAGGAGGACTCCAAAAAAGGTTTTGATAGACCAATCATGGTGTTCAAAAAATTAAAATGAATATTCTTAATTTCTTAAATACACTGTTTTACTCATTATAATTCTTGAAGGGGTTTTGGGGTTTTGGGGTTTTGGGG